GTGTATTAATGGAGTATTTGATTAAAAAGAGAGACCTTACACTATACAGCATCAAACATGATAGGCTTTCCTAAGTAAAAGGCATCGACTAAGAAGCAACTCCATGCGCACAACTATACATAAGGCCATATGGCTTTAGCTACTTACTTACACTCCTAGTTGATAAGAGAGCTTATTGAGGCCTAAAAAGGAGGGGTCAAATGTCACACCCTAAAATATAAGAGTGACCGGCACAAGAAACGTACCTAAATACACATCCATTAAACCTAATTTAAAAGAATTTTTTTAAATACTTTTCATTTAAATGAAGCCCTAATATTTTGTGAAAACTTTCGAGCAGAATCTTATCTCTAAATGGAATCTCTCAAAATCCTATGATGTAAATTTTCCAACAAATATTAGAACAACTAGGAGTCCAACTCCTTTTTAACCAGTACACAAAGTGTTTAAGAAAATAAGGACTTTAACCATAGTATATGTGAAGCACCTATACTTTATTTATAAAAGTACAATATATAGATTAAAATTTTACATCGAAATAAAGATTAACCAAAATGGCATTTCAACTTCAATCCAATAGCAAAATTCCTTGTATGATCTAATGGAGGTACAAGTTATTTGAGACCAAAAATATTTTTCAATGAATAAAGTCCCAACCATAATATTTTGTAGAATCAAAATGACTAAAATATAACCATTACATATGTTAAATGAGAAAGCAATTTAATGTAACAAATTTGTAAACTTGGAACACAATTTTTAAAGAACTTCATAATAATAACATTTAAATCTATAATAACAAAGTAGCTTTAACATTTGATATTGACAAATTAAAATAATTAAATGTATAAGTGAAAATAATAACATTTTCTAATTAAAAACCATTAGTGTGGAATCATCAATTAAATAAAAATTTAAATTTCTGGAGATTCATCAGAATAATTTACAAATGTGGACACACAATCCACGAGGGTAAATAACCAAACACGGCTTATGCCACAAAAACAAACATGGACACACAGTCCACGAGGGTAATACTAACCAAATGCGGCTTGAAGCCAAGAAAACAAACGTGAGTATGAGACCCATGAATAACAAACATGAGAACAAAGCTCATGAAAATCAAACTAGGTAGTCATTGACTATGGCATGCTAAGGACTAACAGAACTACTGTTAGCAACTAGTGTTTTATATAAAATTCCCTTCAAATCCATTTTCAAACATGCAAGAAAATCATCACTATTGAAATATAACTTTCATTCTCATGATCAAACTCGCATGAATAGTTTTGAGCATTAAAAATTTGCCAAAATAAAAATTTCATAACTAATATTCATGTTTGACATTTATTGAGTAACCCAAAAATAACCACAGTTGATAAAAATAATTTCATCAATTTTGAAAGTATCTTTGGTAAGGAAAAACACAAATGCATGCCATAATTCAAGTATTCTTCAACATCTCTTTATAATTTCCCAAGATAAAAATAAAAATAATTTAATTAATAAAATATTTAATATGCAATATAATTTTATTGATAAATCAGTTGGGACGCCTGGAAAGCTTACAAGATGAAAATTTGCTCCTTTTAAACACCTATCAATTGCCTTTTGGCTACTCTAATTACCTAAATAAGAAGAATGAATAACTTTATTTAACAATAACTCCACTTCATATACTACTAATAAAAGTTATCAACCTATTATCTTGTCTAGAAATTATCAAATTTTTCTAAATCAATATTTGTCCCTAACCCAGCAACCATATTTAAAATATTTTATTTCTTTCTCTAGCCAATAATGATACTCTTATCTTGTACTTATACCATCTTTCCTTGGTAACGAGTAAATGATTTATCATTTATAATCATCAATCATACAATCTCCCAATATCTAGTTTGTCTCACAGTAGCTTCACAGTCAAAATTCTTCACCAAACTCAAGTAAATTCCATAAATAATTAATCCCCAAACCAAATATGTCCTTTTTCTCTTCCAATTGCCTTATCATATATAATAAAATTTTATTAGGCTTCCTACAAATCCAAAAAATTCATCCCGACGTTGCCACAACCTTACGTAGATATTTCAAAGATCAATACATAAATAGCAATTTGGTACTTGAATTATCAATGAAAATATTCTCTTCAAAATCTCTACTTCTAATTCCAACTTTCTTTCAAGCATTTTAGCAAACATCTTATATGTATCAAAACCCAAATAAATACCAAGCCTCTTCCTTATTATTATCCTTTCCAACATTTTTCTAAATATCAATATCTAGATAAAACAAGCTCCTCAAACCCCCCCTTTTTAACAAGGAAAAAAAATAGCTTTTAACTTTAAGAGTAAAACCCAAACTCACATTCATCTCCATTAATCATAACCTAAAATAACCATACTAGAATTATTTAATGGAAATGTTTAACTAAGTTTTAAATTTCAGATTAATCCAATCCCCTCCCTACACAATCATATACGGTAGTTGAACAAGGGAAAAATTCACAACTATTTCTCATAGTTTTCTTTTTCCAATGGCAACATAAAATTAACCAAGCTTCTCCTTCAACATAAATCCACTTTAATGCTCAAATAAAATTAAATCTCCATCCACATTATTTTCAGCAGCAAAGAAAAGAGGGAGAAAATTCTACAATCTCAACCAACAATGCATACCAAGCAATAAGGAAGAGGAGGATTGAAATGCCTAACCTTTGATCATTAACGGCACATAAAGGAAGGAGAGGGAAAAAAGATAACAGCACTGAACAGGGGAAGCACAAAGGAATTATAGTTCTAATGAGGATGCTAAAGTAGCAATAGAAAATGGCCAAACACTCACCGAAACTACCTGCAATGACGAACGAATGGGACTCCAGCAGCAACAATGATGAACAAACAATCTAGACAACTAGCTAAGTTGAGCGATCTGTGATGCAAAATAGGGGAGGTGATAAAGAACTATGCTCCTGCACGGCAGCATAATGGAGGGAGGAGAGGTAAAGCTCCTCGTGCACGTTCACCGGTCTCAATCACCATGGGAAAGTAGAGGAATATCAGACAAGAGGCAGATGCTACTAGCTGATTCTGGAGATTTCAAAAATGAACAATGGAATAGAGGAGGAGTTGCACGATTCTTTTATCTATCTCATCAATATCTTTATCTTTTTTTTATTTTTTGGGAAAATTTGTAACTCCATAAAAGATTAGAGTTCGAATAAATAAAACTTCTCTCTAGCATGAGAGATTCAAACTAAGGATCTGAATAAATTGTTAACATAATTTCTACTAAGCCAACATTTTCTCTTACTTTATCTATACCAAAATTAATAGGAATAAAACCAAATACCTTAATATCAGTTTATTTATGATTATTTTTATTATTTTTTCTTTATAACTACTGAAAATAATGATAGTAATAATAATAATGATAATAATAAAATATAATTAGAATACTTAGTCTCTCTCTCTCTCTCTCTCTCTCACACACACATATTAACTTAAAATTTTGGGTTATTACATAAAAAATGATGTTGTTGGAAGTAGCTAAGCCTTAGTGGTGGTTGTGGAGGCCATTCTTGTTGTTGAGATGACAAGTAGTGGCCTGAGACTTTGCCTTCTTCATTAAGAGTGAGAGGGTGATGGGGGAGGCAATGATAGAGCTACTAGAGGTGATAGAGTTAGAAGTATTGACAAGGGTGGAGAGTTTAATGGGAAGAGATAACATTGTAAGTGACATTCAATAAAGCCAAGATGTTGAAGAAGATAGAAGCCCATAGAACATGATTTGGGAGATCACAGTCTCAGGTTAGTGAAAGTGAGACTCGTTAAGATCTTGTCAAAGGTCCGACGAGGGAGAGAGAAGGGAGAGTGACAAGTAAGTTCTATTATAAAAATATTAAAAAAACATTAATGGCAAGGTGATAGTGGAAAGCATTTTAGGGATAAAAATGACCCACAGTTGAGTTTAGGATTCTTATTGACCTTTTACATATAATTTAGGAGCAAAAATAACTCATAACCTTTAAAGTAAATTCATATTTTATGCACTAAATGTTCATTAAACATCAACAGCTAAGGAGAGATATATCTACGAAGCATAAGTTTTATAGAATCCTTAAGGGTTAAATAAAACTAGCAAAACATGGCTCTAATTGTGCAGAAAAATTCAGCAATAACCATAAAAATTGAAGGCATAGAGGAGGAGGAGGAGAGTTGCCACAAAATCTACTCAAAAGCCGATTCCAACCACTCTCCAATTTTCAAACACCTTCAAGACCTTGGTTACTATCCCAAAATTGCCTCTAGACCTTGAAAATTGTTAAGAACATCAAACTCCCTAAAACCCTAGCCTCCTACAACTTAAATACATAAAATGATGCTATGTGTTTTACTATACGATGTTGCCATGGTAGCTGCCATTGCCCAAGTACCCTCAGTTTATTCTATTACACTGTAACACATGCCTGCCATAACAACTCCTTCAAAATTCTAATTTTCAAATTAGTTCATCTATTTTTCTTCCTTGAAATCCTTTCTCTTTTAGGTAGTTTCTCATAAAACACAAGCAATACTCATTTCACTTCTAAACACTTACAAATTATAATGATTAAAAGAAAATGACCCATTTACAAAGCATAACAAATTAAAGAGAAGAACAGTGAGAAAAATAGCCAAAATAAAGGAGATGACTCTATAATTTGCTAGCAAATCCATTCAAAACATATAAAAATTAAAAAGCCATCACTTTTTATAATGATTTTTTCCACCTTCTCCCTGTAATTGATACGTCATGATATTGATACTAAGCTTTTTTAGAATGGGCTGAATAGGTTAGGGTGAAACAAATGGGCTATAAAAGTTAGGTCAAAGGGCTGGAAGAACATACATTATATGATCAAAGGGTATTATGAGAAGTGATATGCAAAGCTAAAGTTAGAAGAAGGCAATTATTATTGATTAATAGTCATCATATCCTTATATATGTAAGAAAGCAAGAAATACTAAAAACTTTATATTATACATATGAAAGCAAACAATGACACATTGATTAAACTAAACATAATATAACAAGCTGAGTGTGCTTATTCTTGGAACTTTTACAAGTAATTTAAAAAAACACTTAAAATAAGGAGTGAATCATCATTTTCCACTAGCATTAAGTTTACTCTACCACAAGTTTTCTTCCTTTCCTTGGATAAAATTTACAAGGTTGATAATGGATATCCGTGGTGCTCAACCAAGATCATACACTACAATAGGGCTCCTTACTTGGACATTGCCATCATCCCAAATCAATGAAGTAGAGACTATAATCACATTTATGCTGCCTTCAATGGTCACTATGAAAGACTTCTTCTCCCCAACAGAAGAGAATGACAGAACATCTGGTGTCACTTGAATAGTTAACAGAGATGAAGGAACAATCAATTTAGCCTTGTATATAGACATAGCTGCCCCAACATTTGCCCCAACATAGCTGCCTTCAAAGGTTTTGATATGTTTGTCTTAAGAGCAAAAGATGGGAGATTGAGATCCCTTACTTTTTCATGCTTAATTTTCTTACAGTTGATGTCATCATCTGTAATGTTTCGCAATATTTTTGTATCATAACCTTGTCCACACAAGAACCTCACATAATCATATTCACTAATATCATATACCAATCCAGGAGTCACTGCCTTAATGGGATTGATTTGTCCAGCTCCGTATGCAAATTCAGCTTCTGGGCTGAGCTTAGGATTCATGGGAGTAGCTACAATGTATATGCATGTTCATAAGAAACAAGCATGTATGGAATCATAAGAAAAGAAAAACCAAGGCTTTATGAATTTACTTAAGTTCGTGTTGATGTGTGTGTGTGTGTGTGTGTGTGTTAATGGATTAAGTAATTACCAGTGGTTATTAGGGCAGACATGATTGCAGCTGGGGACCAAGTGGGGTGAAAAGATTTGATGTAAGCAGCTGCAGCAGAAGCATGAGGACAAGCCATGAAAGTTCCAGATATTATCTTGAAGTTTGATTGTCTCTTGTCTCTCTTCACCTTAAGGAGAGGGGACTCAGGAGGCCAAGCAGCTAAGATATCTACACTTGGGGCAGTTATATCAGGCTACAATAGCAACAATAATGAAATTGTTTCAATACACTATTAGGTCTTGAAGACGATTGCTATATATAGAAGTGTTTATTAGTGTTCCTACCTTAAGAATATTAGGAGTAATTGGATTCGGACCCCTTGAAGAAAAGGATACTACGTAAAGGGAAAGAGAATCTTTACCTTCACGACTCTTATATATAGTAACAGTTGGATTGCTGCAAAAATTGGTAGATCATACAGCAATAAGAATTAATTTATCAGTAGTAACAAGGAAATTTACCAAATATAATGTGATGTGTGATGATCTATACCTAGCATATTTAGAGTAAGAGCGAATGGGTTTGCGATCATTTAGAGTAAGCACAGCAAGAGGAAGAGGGAAAGAAAAAAGAGATGCTGCATCTTTTGCGGAAATGGTTGGAACCACAAAACCAGCCACCACAGATACTAGTCTCACATCCATTGGAAAACTATCACACAAGACAATTTTTCCCTTCACCATCGCTTCATTCAATGAGTTTTCAATACAATACCTATCCAATAATAATGAATTATTAGAATACCGTTTGAAGGGATAATTTAATTTCTCTCTCTTTTTAAACATATATAAACATCACCACCTTGATTTGGAATTGTTAAATCCACCGGTGATATTTGGTGCATCTCCAGAGTAAATCAATGGGTACTTTTTATTGTGAAGATCAAATGTATTCAACGAAACGCCCTACATATATGTGATATAAATATGTTCATTATATCAACCATTCTTATTGATTTCTCATTAGTAATCTAATCTAAGTATTAATTATACCTCAAAAATCTTGCCATTTCCCAACTGAACTTGAGTGAAAAACTTTCTGTCAGTTGTAGAAGCTGCCACTAAAAGCGACCAAGGAGTAAAAGTAGTCATGGTGAACAAATTTGGACCCAAGTTGTTGGCAGCAATTGACGTTAAAATTCCGTTCTTCATTGCATGGAAAGCCCCTATTGCATAAACATCCTCAAAATAGGGAAGGAACTTGACTTTGGAAGGACCAAGTGATATGGAAATTATGTCAACACCGTCAGAGATTGCTTCATCGAATGCTTTGAGAATGTCAGCTTCCTCACAACCTAATGACCAACAGGGTTTGTATGTAGCAATACGAGTTGATGAGACTCCCCCTCTTGCAGTGCCTAAGCCTAGTCCAGACTGACTCGCTGAGTTAACCCAGTTTCCTGCTACGATGGATGCACAATGAGTCCCATGTCCACTCGCATCCCTTGGAGATATAATATCATCCTTTTTTATATCCTTAAGGGATGGAAAGTATTTTGCTCCTACTATTTTGCTGCATACACACACAAACACACACATATTTACTCACATAAGCAGTGTGACCATGGAATGTATAAATTCAAACATCAAATAATCAAATGTGGTAGAATGATAAGGGTGACTAATTTAATATATTTTTAAATATTCATAAAATATTTAAAATAAAAAAGATTAGAATAATATTAAAAATATATAAAAAGTGATTTCAGGTTAAACAACTTGAAGTGATTAAAGATAAAGTAACAAATATAATTTAATAAAGTAAAAAAATATTAATTTTCCAATACTTATTAGGAGGTGGAGGTTAGTATAAATTATATTCTAGAAATATGATTTGAATTTTAAAAATATAAATAAAAAATATGACTTAAAGTTTTGCCAGGTTCTTAATTAACCAATTATATTCAAACTCCCCAAGCTTCCCCTTTATAGGTCCCACTGGGTTTCTTGTATCAAATATTCTTTAATTTGAAGTGGAAAATGTATAGATATATACTTATTGCAAGTGATGTTTTGGCATGACCCCTTCCATTTTTTGGGTGGTGGACCGAAACCTTGATCATTGAAGCTGTCAGACTCTGGCCAAATTCCGTAATCGATTACTCCAACAATGATATCACTCTCCAAACTTGTTCTTTTCACTTGCTGTGGGAAACCTAGGAAGTCCCACGACCTCGTCGTTTGGGCCTTGTGCCTTTTGCTTTGGAACATAGAGATTACCCCCTCCATTCCTGATAATATTTGGCATCATTGTTTTGTGATTACTGATTACTCTCTGGTATAAGTTTGACTGGTTTATATAAAGATGTGGGGGGGGGGGGGGGGAAGAACATCTAAACTGTACCAGCCACTTTTTTGGCTTCCTCTTGTGTTAGCCTCACCGCAAATCCATTGAAACTCTTCTTGTAGCTGTGGAGCAAAGCTTGTGGTGCAAAGTTTCTGAAAGATAGCCACTTGTGACGATCTATCTGTTGTATTAATTATGGCTCAAGCTATTTCAAAGAATTTATACTTTGTAGGCAATTAATAAAACTTATGCATAGAAGAAGAGTAAGAACCTGCCAAGGACTTGTTGAACGAGACTCGTGTGATGGGATTCTGTGACTTCCATTTCCTTGGGGAGATCCCCCATGTACACGACAAACGTCTGCGTATTCAATTTGCGATTATAATAATGATATATAAACTAATCAAGAAAATAAAGTGAGAAGCAATGAAATGAAGATTATGATAGATGGAATATACTGATCCGAACAATCAAAATATTAATTAAAACGAAAATTTTGAAATAGAATAAAGCCACAATAATTATTTTACCTTTCGATCATCGCAGTGTGTCTGAATAACAAGAATGCTGAAATAGAGAGGAAAGAGGAGATGCCAGGAGCTTAGAGAAAACATGTTCAATTTTCTAAATGAAACGACAGAATGGGATGTGTTTAAAGCAAGACCTGTCCAATGGTATTTATAGGATAAGGATGGGTGCATTTTTCCAATGTCGTTTAAACGTGACTCACATTTATTCTACAAAATCAAAATTTGCTTTTCATACATGGGCCAACTCCTTTTAATCTGACATGATTTCACACTAAGATCTAAAGATTATAACTTTGTCTCTTTAATTATTAATATTTAAGATTCCGTGACTTACATGAGGATGGTTTTAATTATCAATAGCTATTAATTTAAATACATCATTTTTTATTTTAATTGTGTAAACAAGTACCTCAGACATATTCATAATTATTAATAACGTATTGCTATATTTCTTTGAACTGGAAGTTTGGTTGAGTTGGATCATAGCTTGTTAGTGTTACAGTATGCTTTTGAGTAGTTCAAAAGGGAAAGATTCTCTCATAGCACGTCCATTCTAGTGTGTATAGAAGTGTGACAAAGTGATAAATATTTTGAAAGATGAAACCCAAAGAAAAATGTTGCTGATGTTTTTATAACACAATTGAAGGAAAATTGAGGGAAGCAACAGGAAAGAACCATTGTTTATTGTTGGTAGTGGGATTCGACTTCACAGTCGTGGAGATTATGAATTAAATATTTATCAATAGGATTAATTTACCTTTCGATCATCACAGTGTCTGAATAATAAGAATGTTGAAATAGACAGGCAAGAGAAGATGCCAGGAGCTTAGAGAAAACATGTTCAATTTTCTAAATGAAACGACAGAATTCGATGTATTTAAAGCAAGACCTGTCCAATGGCATTTATTGGATAAGGATGGGTGCATCTTCCCAATTCTATGACACGTGATTCACATTCATTGTACAAAAGCTAAACTTGCTTTTTATATCATGGACTAACTTTTTTTATATGACATTATTGCACTAAAGTCTACATAGCATAACTTTGTCTCTTTAATTATTAATAGTGGTATTCATTTTAAAATTCTGTGGCTTACTCTTTCTGATTTTATGTATTGGTTAATTTTAATATATTTTATCAAAATTAAAAATTATTAATTTGTTAAAATTTACTAACTTTTCACCTAGACAATAATAAAGGTAAAATTTTTTTTATAATTTTTCTAGCATTTCATATAGGAAATATGAAGTCTATTTACCAATGTCAGTTTTCTCAAAGTACAGGAAGATGGTTTTATCAATAAGAAATTATAGAATAGCTATTATTTAAATTTTAATTATGTAAAAAAAATACCCCAAACATATTCATCATTATTGATTATGTATTGGTATATTTCTTTGAATGGGAAGTTTAGTTGAGTTGAATCTCCTAGCTTATTAATGAGGTTAGAGTATATGCTTTTGAGTTCAAATGATATTTATAAATATACATACAAATTATCTACTAATTAGGTTATTATATTGATAACAAGGAAAAGATTCTCTCATATATAGTTCATCCTAGTGTGCATAAAAGCATGACAAAGTGATAAATATTTGGAAAAATTTTATACAAGTTCTACACAAGAAAATTGATTATTGTAAAATTCATTAACAACATAAGACCATTTGCAACATATTTTTAAGAAAATTAATTACTTCAATGTAATTCTCCCTAAATATGTTGAAAGAGAAAACCCAATGAAATGCGGTGTTGTTGATGTTTAACACACTTGAAGAAAACTTGAGGGAAACAACAAGAGAGAATCATTGTCTATTGACAGTGAGATTTGAATTCACAATCATATAGGTTATGAACTAAATTACCGAATAGACCAGTGCTTGTTGGCAATGTATTGAGATGTTTTATCTAGTGAATATAATTAGCTTGATGATTTTTTCCTTAAAAAGTTCACTTATGTTATTTGATTTTAAACTAAAACTAAATTGAATTGAACTAAGCACTTTGTTGGAGTTTCCAAATGGTCAGTATTGGGAAATTTGATGCTTCTGCATTCCTTTGATGGGATTATGTTTTTTCATTATTTCTGACAATTTAAAATTTAGGGACAATGACAATTAAGAACCCCACAAAAACATTAATTATAATTATATACTTTAAATTATTAAAATTCCAATAAAAAATCATAAATTATCTCTTGTTGATTGGCTTAAGATTCACAATGAATTTTTATAAATTTACAACTAACACTATAAAGATTTTCAAGTATCTTTTATTGATTTCTCAAGTGGTAACAAAAAATTATAAGTGATTAGCTTACAATCATAACTAAATCTCATATATTTTTAAACTAACATTACAAATAATCTTAATTATATTTTGTAGATTTTCTAAGCGAATTGTATGTGTGTGCGAGCGCACGTGTGCAAGAAAATTAAAAGTAATTAACTTGTAATTTACAACTAACATTTATAAATTTTCAACTAATATTATAAATAATTTCACATATATTTTCTTGATTTTTCAAATTATTTATATGTGTATTGGCAACAAAAAATTAAAATTCACAATTGATATTTGTATATTTGTAATTGACATTACAAATAATTTTAAGTGTGTTTTGTTAATTTTTTTAACTGATTATTTACATTTTTTTAATTGTTAATGATCATAGTCTATTATTGAAATTTCAATAATTTAAAATTTATAATTGTTATGAATATTCTTATGGGTACCTAATTGGCATTTTTTCTCAAATTTACTTTTGTGTGTAGTTTTTATTATAATTTAAATTATCTTTTTCAATGATTTAATATATTGTTATACATATAAATATAATAATTAAAAGTTGATCAATTTTAATCCTGGCTTTGACTCGGATGGGCGCGTGGTAGACAGAAACTCCCCAGTAATGATGTTGATTTACTCTACTTTATGAGATGCTTTTGCAAAAGCTGACAAAAAGGTGAAGAAAATAAAACAAACAAACAAGCGGAGGTGCTTTTGCAAACTAATAATTGATGCTTCTTTTCCTTTTCTTCTTTTCCAAAGTAGGACTAATTGAGGGTTGTTAGGATGATAATGTTGAAGCCAAACGCAAACTAAGATAATTGTAATGGAAAATTTTATCTAAGAGTCTCTCGGATGTGACATAATTTTAAACAGGGTCAAAAAAAAAATTCAGAAAATTCACTACATGCTCGGAGGATTAAAATAAAATTAATTTTTTAGTTAAATAATTAAAATACCCTTTAATTATAATTAACATTATATAAGAAATCAAGTTATGATTTTTACAAGTAACATTACTATAATAGCAAATTATATTATAGTTTTTACATAACTAAAATGACATGTAATGTTATAATTTTCACAAGTGATATTAGTAAAATAACAAGCCAAATTATGATTTTTGTAAGTAGCATTGATATAATAACAAGTCAAATTATAGTTTTTACAAGTAACATTAGTATAATAACGAGAAATTGTGTTTGTTCTAGTAATGTTACTAGTAAAACCCATAACTTGACTTATTATTCTACTAATATTTCTTATAAAAATCATAACTTGTTATTCCAGTAATGCTAATTTTAATTAAAGGGCATTTTGATCATTTAATTAAGAGAATTTATTTCATTTTCAACGTTCTAAACCTATAGTGAAATTTTAGAATTTTTTTGGTCCTGTTTAAAATTATATCACATCTTAGGGACTTTAATGAAATTCTTCTTAATTATAAAGTGTTCAAGGATTTGAATAAGACAAGGCCACAACATACAAATTGTAACCTCTCCTAATATCTAGTTGACATTAGGAGGGGATAACTTAATCATCACGTGCACAACACAAATTGCAATATAATATTTTATTTAAAAAGCTTGAACCCAGGACTTATTTTATAAAATTATCAAAATCTTAAAATATCAGAGCAATACATAGTAGAAATCAAATACACACTACTACAGAATATCCCCTTACTTAACGGTTATTTTAGAAATTATTTTATGGTTTTTAACCGTCAAGTAATAGGGCGCCATATATTTATTTGACAGTTAAAGACCATCAAATATTTTAGAGATTACTTCACTATTATTTCAAGATAACCGTCAAGTAATCAGTTAAACATTACTAGCACAGTGTATTGCAGGAATATACTTGATGATTATTTAAAAATAATCGTCAAGTATTTAGTAATATTTGACGGTTATTTCGAAAAAACTATCAAATACTTGTCGGTTATTGCATAATAACCATCAAGTAAACTTATACTTGATGTTTCTTTCTAAATAATCATCAAGTATTTATGATGTGTTTTTTAAAAGTTGGGGGCTGCTTGGAAATACAAAGCAATCAAATATATATACCAGCCAGCCAACAATAAAAAACAATTGAATCATTATTTATATTGAAATTACAATCCAAATATCTTTAATTTCCTATATCTACCTATATCCTAAACCCGATGCCATAAAAAATCTATAACTTTACCTACTATACAAGTTAAAATTTCAAAACTAATTGGCCTCAGACATAAAATTGACAAAAAAAAAATAAATGTGTATACCAAAACTAATTGGGCCTAACTATTGCTGCTATCCACATGATAAACACGGCTTGAGCTACCTCTTCAAGGGTTTTCTCTATATATGCAGCTGCATACTGAACACAGTAGGCATCCTCGAAGTACTGTATGCAAAGAGTTACAACAAATTCAAGTTAATAGCTATCTAATAAAAGTTGTTAAAATTTATAAAATAAAAATAATTAGACAAATTCATAAGATAAAACATATTACCTCAAGTAGTTTTTCAGAGGGGACTATACAGCTATCTTTCTAACTAGGACTAATCTCACCCAAAGTCCTCCTAGGGACTTGCCCCTTCAACAACATGTCGATTAATGCTGCCTGGGCTAATAGTTGCTGCTTCATAACAGCTTGCTCTTCTCTCAACTCTTGGACCTCAGACGAAGAAGCTGATGTTTGCTTCTTTATCTTGCCAAAATATTGCTTCTTCGTGATGCCAAAGCTTATACCCTTGACACGACCAAGATGGTTAGCAATTCCTAATGCCTTAGCTAAGATGTTCTCATCCTTAAGAAG